TAATAACTAAAATATGTCTCTAAAATGTTGATTAATACCAATAATTTGACAGTTTTTTGGCCTGATTGTTAACAATTCACTCTTAAACAAAACATATAAAAAAGCAGTAGTATATAGTACCTCACCCCTAAAGTAGTTTCAATTTTATGCAATATTTATCATATATTACTTTACAATGAATCCATGTGTATATACGCACAAAACATCCTTCCAATTAGAGACTATTATATGTAAAGCATATATCAAGTCTGCTTCTGTATGGAAACAGGAAATTACAGGAACAGTGCAGTATATCCTACAAGCAGTTTTGGATTGCATCATTGTTCTCATTAATTACTCTAAAACAGTGCAGAGTCTGTCTTAAAATATGTTCTGAATGAAAATGTATTAAAGTGAAAAAAGCCATTAGTGCCAAATGGGTACTGTAATAAAACTGCACTGTACCTCAGTGTTATTAGGGTTGTTTGGACATCGAAAATGGGCACAAGCACATTTTTTTTTTACCCAGCATAAAGGGCATTACAGTAGCATGACTCATCTCTTCATCTCCCTTTTAAAAAGGCAACTGAGACAGGTTAAGTAGTAAAAATAGTTAGAGATTCAAAAATTAATAACAAAAAAATAAAAAAACAAGTGCAGTGTGGCACTCCCAGCTTTTCATCTGGTACCTTTTAAATTCTCCTGGCAGGACGTCTTGAACACACTGGAGAATGGCCTTATGCTCTCCGGAGTGTTCAAGGTAGAACTGAAAGCTTTGGACAGAACTGCCCTCATAACAACTCTGCTTTGTTTCTGCAGCCATGACTGATTCCTGCAATGCATTGCACACGTTGGAAATCAGAAAATTAGCAATGATTTATGCATGGAAAAACTACAACAACTATTCAAAAACTGACTTTAAATGAGGCAAACATCAATTGTTCATTGCAAATATTCAATTACCTTGAGTATGTGGAGAGTAAGGACAGAGAGTTGGTAAGTTGGAGAGTCGTTGGTCTCCCACACTAAAGTTGCAGCTACTCACCCCTCCCACAGGCTGGGAGCTCTCATGAGCATTTGTTGCGTAACTCTTGAAAGATGAACTTTGCCTGTACATCAGAGCCAACCGCAGCTGTGCTGTCAGATTCCTCTCCATGCATGTATTCCAGTGGCTATTTCGAAATCAGTCTGATCATTAGCAACCCAAAATCCCAACAATGATTTGTTTCAAATGTTTAATAGTTAAACTTAACTACTCAACTTTTTTTTTCTCATTTTTACTGTCCCCACTTTTTTGCAAGCATGATCAGCATTTTACAGTTACTATCAATAAAGTCAGAGCCAACACATCCACCAAATATGCCTGTTCAATGCACGGAAAGAAAGAGGTGCTGGGAAATTCGACTTGGAAAATAACAATATGATTTGCAACAAATAAGGGGTATTCCTTGATTGATCAATAAATTATAGTTATAAATGAGGTATCATTGAAACATTTTTATATCACTTGATACACAACTGTGTTGATAACAGACAGCATGGCTGCAGTAAAGTAGGCTGACTGTTTATTCAAAGCTGCTGCTGAAACTCCTGATTGATTCTGTGCGAAAAAGTTTGGACATGTTGCGTTTTAAAAGCACGTAGATTAATAGTCTGTGAGCTCAGGTGTTAAACAAACACAGTGTTGACTGATCTTGTAGTCAGTGCTGTGTGTATGTAGGTTACAGCCCCCTCACTCTCTGAATCAACAGAATGACGGGACTGTACGGGACAACTCCTTACATGTTGCTGTTCAGCTGCCACCGAAACACCTAAAGTGTAGAGACAACCGTTTGAAACCCCTGATTATACAGTATATGGCGCCGGTTTGTTATATGAAATTTTGTTTTTAGGAAATAAATACAGAGGTTCTGTAAGATAAGTTTAGTACACTGAACAACTCATTTTAAAGGGAGAACCTGATATGTATCTTTATGGAAGACTGACTTTGAACCTGTAAGAAAGTTGTTTGAACTAAAAATTAATACATGTAAAAAACACGAGGTCATCCAGCACAATCTTCTAAATGTGCTATTTAAGAAACAAACCAAATATGCATTGCTGCTCAACAGCCACTGGCTGGCAGGAGCCTTTTCTCAGGGACGCCAGTTTCTTTCCACAGTCCAAACACATGCAGATTAGGTGAATTGTCAGCTCTAATTTACTGGCAAGTGTGAGTGTGAATGTGTTTGTCTGTGTGTGTATGTGTTAGCCCTGTGGTACACTGCATGTCCAACCCAGGGTTCCAGTCTTGCTAAATGTGAGCTAGGATTGGCTCCAGCCTCATTTGACCCTATATAGGATAAGTTGAGTGTCCTGGATCAAAATTTTCATAGCCACAAAAAATCAAATAGGCATAGGCATTAATATGGGATACATGATGGCCTTGTAAAAGGATGATTTGTGGACCTTCTTGTTGAGTTATGGCCATTTTACATTTATTGCAACATCAACTTTGCAGGATTGCAGATTTCAACTTCAAACTTCAGACATATGGTAATTTATGTCAAATATGAAGCAACATATAGAATCATTTTACAACCAATTATAGAAAATGGTATGGCACATAGAAAAACATAAATACTTATTTGTGTGGTCTTTCAAAATTTTGTATGTATGCACATATTTTGTTGGATGGATTACATTTGTTGAATTTGCTAAAACTTAAAATGAACACAAAGCAAAATAGCTGTCGGCCTCTACTAAAAGATTCACCCTGAACCAAGGAAACCAGGTCTAAAGATGATCTCTTCCACGCCTGTTACACCATACAGTGAAAGGTTGTCCCATGCTGCTGGGAATGTCAGCACCTGTACTTTCATCACACAGTATCGGCTGTTGCACTTGGGATATGCTCTTATCTGTAGTGCTTCTGTGGGTTTTACATGCCATTCCCAAGTCGGACCACTACAGAATCTGCCAGGTGAGGAAGTTCTCTTTGCCCATCACTAAAATCGATTGCATCTTGATTTATAACTTCAAGGTGAAAACATTAACAGCCAAAAGCAACTCCCTGACTGGTCCAAAATGCATCAGTATGTAGTTCAGCATATGGAAGGAAAAAGCTTAATTGGTCAGATCTTTTCTCTGCAGATACAATCAGAAAATAAAATGATGGGTTGAGATGTGCTTTACTTTGCCATTTATGTAGGTCAGAATAGTAGTTAGTGGTGTTTTTGGTACCCCCCTTGCATCATCGTCATTAATAGTATCAATGTTTGGGTCTCCAGGTTGTGAAAAATCTTCCAGCTAGATCTTGCTTTATCATCTCAGATAGCTTCATCTGGACTGTTTGACTGCTTACCTTCTGGAAAGGGGCACATGGGAAAGACTGGCCTTAAGGGCTTTCTGTCGGAAAGCGTTTAGGAAGTCAAGTGAGGTAGTATAAAGAGTGACAAAGTCCATATGGGAGGAGGTTGCGATGGACAAATGGGTCAAAGACAGGACTTTCACCCAGGAGACCAGGGTTTGTGTCCCATGTGAAACAAAATGTAATTGTTGACTTATTATTTTCAGTTGCAGTTTGGCTAGATTTAGAAAACAGAACTTGGTTCGGTTTGGACAAAATCATGGTTTGGATCAACCAAAAATCAATTTATTAACAACAGAGCCAATTTGTATAAAATGTCCTATAAATGGTCATAAGAATGGAACTAAACTAAAGTTTGAGCACAAATTCATAGTGGATTATAAGAAATAAAAGCTTTTTAAGTTTAAGTGTGTTCCTATTAGCTGTAACAATCATGTCCACACAAAATGCTATCCCTCAAGAATGAATCAGCCAATGACTTAAAGGATAAAATAACCATTTTGCGTGATTTTCCTATAAATTGTTTGTATGTAGTTCAAACCTGTTTAACTGTGTAAACACAAACACAGAACTAACCCTAAAAAAAGAAAAAAAATGAACATTTTAATTTACTTTGCTGTATGAATAACAAAATTCATCATCTTTCAAACCAACCAGAAGTCTTGTACAACACAGCTCAGCTAATATAATTACTATTGTATATTTAATAATTGATGTACATATGTTTAACATTCCCTTACAAAACATAAAATAACAGATTTCAAGCTTGTTTTTAATTTGGTGCAGTCAAAAGCAATCTTTAAACATGTGCATGTTTATTTGCAGCCACAGTTAATGACACTTTACTGCAGATATGATCTTTGTGATTATTCAGCTAGCAGAGTGCAGGTCAAAGAGTTTGTGGTTTTAAATTTTCACAAAATCTTCTTTTACAGTTTTTTACAGCAGCATTGCATGTGATTTTAGTGTTTGCCGTCTAGTTTTAATGTGTGTGTGTGTGTGTGTGTGTGTGTGTGTGTGTGTGTGTGTGTGTGTGTGTGTGTGAGTGAGTGAGTGAGTGAGTGAGTGAGTGAGTGAGTGAGTGAGTGAGTGAGTGAGAGAGAGAGAGAGAGAGAGCGCTTTACGCCTTTGGTAATATAGATAATTAGTGGTCTGTGATCTGTACCCTTGATCTGTCCACCAATAGATCTCACAGACAGTTACTAATGCTGCCCTCAAGATGGTGCCAATACTTCATATATCAGTGCTATTTTTTTGGCTGAGACCAGCAGCTACCATTTTGCTAGTGTTTATCTAACCAATACATTGCAAATGTCAGTCTGTACCTACCGCTGGTGCAGGTTGTAAAGCTGAATATATGGTTTTCCAAAGTATAATTAAATTTAGATTGTGTAGAGTTATCACAGTCAGTATAAAAGCCCTTCTGTACTGGTTGGTTGTTTCTTTTTGCATTTATAAGCCACACTAGAGCCCCAAATCAGTGAAACATATAGGCTTAAGTCATTGACCTGGAAAGACATTCAAGAGTTAATAAAGCAAATATAAATTACATAAACTAGTTAGTACCATTGATTTATCTTCCAGTCAGTTCGGCCATATTTTATACCTCATATTAAAACAATTTTGAGATTCTTTTTTGAGAGCTACCATGCAAAATAGAAAGGCAACCATAAACAGGTGGAGGTTTTTAATGTTTCTGTGATGTAAATGTAATCTGCAACTATTTCAATGTACAACATTCAAAAACAAAGACACAAAAGCCACCCCGACAGGAGTGTTCAGCTTATCTAAAATTAACAGCTTGATCTCCATGGAAAATTTAATGTTCAATTTTCCATTTCTTTTTATATCTCCAAAGTAATAGGATCCAATGAGAGCAGCAGTGTAATGTGGTTGGTAGCACAGCCTGCCAGCTGTAGCCCATAAAAATTATATGATGGTAGAATCTGAAGCTGATATCTGAATCTGATTAACATTGTGATCATTACATTTTGTTTGGGTGGCTCATGACAAAGAAACAAAATGGGTTTAGGAAAGAAAATTACAATCAAGACATTGTTTTAATTTTGTACATATAAAAATATGAATATAAATAATTAACAAACAATACTGGTATCTACACCTATAACTACTCTTATAAAACCAATATAATCAAAAAAGGCTCCTGGAGATCAGGTTTCAGGTTGTGTGGAAGCGGATTTGTATCAGCCCATTAACACTAATTTAACAACTATGTTATTTATCTAAATTTCACATTCACTATATTTACAGCCTGTTTTTAAGTGAGCTGATCTATGACTATTACTCCAAGGTTGTTGTTAAAAATAACTTTGCCGTTGGACTCAACACTACAGTCTGGGTGCCGAAGTAACTGCAAGACACCAGTTCTCAGCTCAGGTGAGGCTGTCTTACTGAAGTCCAGCACCTCAGTGAGAAAATCAAGCAGCAGCTCTCCCTTCTCATCCCCCTCAGTGAAACACTCGGTGATATCCATTTGAGATGGCAGCTCGTAGCTCTGGTAGCTCACTCCCTTGGAGTCCAGGAAGCTTTTGATGTCTCCAGTAGTCACACACTGACTTATTTCTGTGTTACAGAGCTGGTTCCTGTAAGTCCGCCACAGTTTTCCCCATCCACTCTCACCTGGAATAGATGAGATGAAAACAAGACTGAGACAGCAATGCTAGTAGCTTTGTGAATCTGCTCTTAAAGCTGCAGTAGGCACCTTTTCTTTTTTTGTTTTTTTACAGATTTGTCTCATGTACTGCTTTCAGAATATAGAGAAAGTTTCAGCAAATATAACAAAAAGTTATTTTTTTTATTTTATTATTAAGTTACCTACTGCAGCTTTAAGCGTGTCCAGCAGTATGCCACTAAATCAGGCGGCACCACAAAATGTTTCATAAACGGCAGTAGCACATATATACTGCAATATACCTGTGGTCTAGATTATATAGGACAACAAAACAGCAACATGAATGAGTAAACTAAATTTCATGACAATCCATTAAATAACTAAAACATTTCACTCAAACCCACAAATGTCAAACCACAAACATCATGCTCATGGTGGATTTAGAGTAAAAACCAAGAGATCACCTGAGTCAGTAGGATTCATCCTTAATGAACCGTGAATGTCTGCTTCCAATTTACTGGAAATTAATCCAATATTTGTTGATTTCGGTCTAGACCAATGTAATGGCCCGACATAGCCATCCTCACAGCCATGAAAACAATGGAGGACGTCTTATTAAATGAAAGCAAAGTCACACCAACAGAAGTGATATCTTGGTAATTACTGAAATAAAATGGCATTTTATTAATAATATCACAATATGATAACATAATTGTGTGACTAATGTGTTGTTTTGTGTGTGCATTATTTTTCCCAGCAATAAATGTGGAACAAAAATAAATTTCCCCATCTACTCCATGATAAATCTGTACAGTATTAACCAGAATGCAAGACGAGGGTTTCTTATACTAACTCTGATAACCCATTACTGTATGTATAAGTGCATAACTAACCTGAGAGAAGGAAAAGATAAAATGTCTTCAGAATTTAAGATTAGATCCATCCACTTACCAGAGACTAGAATGATAAGAAGCTTCCCATTCTTGTCGAGGAGACTCTGGAAGAAGCTGATGGTAGCTCCAGGATCCTTCACATAATACAGCATCTGTTGATTTCACCACAGATAATGGGCTGGTAACTGGATTCATAGAGCACCTAATTATAACGCTATGCTAGACAGATGTTCTAATGGGATTAATTGCTGTGGAGCGCTGCCAAATGAATATGACCTAGATGTGTCAAAAATATAGTTTGTGGGCCAGAGGCACTCGGTTTCCAACACCAACCTGTATCATGTGAATGAAGTCTGCTTTCTTAGTCATCTTTTTCACTTTCCAGTGCTCCTCAAACTCAGAGGCAGTCATCTTGTTCCAGTTAAATTTGACGTAATCTAAACCGGGTTTCTGTGACACCAGAACTGCATCAACAGACACAAAACAGAGTTATGGAATATAATCGACACGTAAATCTATAAAATAGTGTTACAATGTCAGATATCAGAATCTGTACTGTTACTACATGTTGCTTTGTGAATATCATATAACAGGGAAACTATATAACTTAATTCATTTAAAAAGGTCCAGTGTGTAACATTTACGAGGCTCTATTGGCAGAAATGTAATATAATATTCATAGGTATGTTTTCACTTGCGTATAATCATCTCAATAAAATAATCATTATGCTTTTGTTACTTTAGAATGAGTCGTTTTTAATCTACAGATCCCACGGGTGGCCTACCGTGGAGGCCGCCAGGTTAATCCACAATGTTCCTACAGTAGCCCATGGACAACCATACACTGGCTCTAGATAGGGCCATTCACATTTCTCGTGCGCTTCACAGCCACTGTAGCTTTTTCTTTGCACTTGGAAAGGGAGGGTGAAAGCAGTGAGTTGCAATCTGCAACTACACGGCACACCTGACCTTTTACTCAGAAAACACTATGCATTATTAGTTACTTAAGAATTCTATAATGATGTTAATATTAAAGGTAAGTCAACATGACATTGTTTTGCATGAACTTACTAATTAAACAACAAACAAAGAAATTGGGAAAATCATTTTTTTCCATTTTCAAATGGAACAGCTTGTGCTAGTAATGTTTTTAAAGCCAGCGAGAGATTTCTGTCTGTTTAATTTGTCTATTCTCATTAGTTGATATTCATAATTCAAACACCTTTCGATTTACTCATGTTTGGTATTATTACACCTTTCTTATTGAAAAGTTTCCAAATCTTTGCTATGTTCCAAAATTAATTGGCTAAGTCTTATTAATATAACATTCCCTAATTAAACATAAAAATGTATTTGTATATTTCACCAGGATGGTTAAACTTTATCAACAGAGTTCTGGTAAAACCATCGTGTTAAAGCTGAATGATACATGTTACAAAACATTCACAAAAGTAAGAAGAGTAAGGATAAAACATATAATGATGTATACAAGTAGGTAGTATTACATATTACATATATCATTGTACATTTAGTTAAAATCATCCAAATTTAAAGTAACTTTGAACTATTTTTGTTTCAGCTGCCTTATGCAAACCCACACAGCCTTGACTTTTCTGAACTTACTGCCGATTCAAAGGAGGCAAGTGTGAGCAAGTCTTGATGATTCCAGCATGCTTTGCACATGCTTTTGAAAAAAAAAAAAACAATTCTGGCAAAGATGTGTGTCAACAGATACTGAGCTCAGAGAGCCACCTACAGAAACTGCATCAAGTAGAGCCAAGAAACGTAGGATGGCGCACAGAACATAATGAGCATTCAGTGCATCGCAGATGGACACGAAATGAGGAACCTCAGGATCACCACGTTACCTACAACATTCATATGCTTTTTTTAATATACAGTATGTGTGAATAATGGGTGGTAGCAGAACTAGAAATATGTGTCAAAACTGGTCAGACAGCAGCAGAGTTGGAGCTGGGAGGCACTCAGTGTTTTACTTCAGGGATACTTACTGACTCGAGGGTTTGAATCTGGGATGGGTTAAAGGATAATGCCCCTACTAATACATGAATAACTGTATTACTAATGTATTAGTGTGAAGCCAGGGTCAGCTTTAAAATGTATTCCCAGCATTAGAAATACAATAAAAAGTAATATATAGTATATCCCTTATTTGCTGTTAAAATAAATATTGAAACATGTTTTGCAGGGGCATATGAATATACAGATATAGTAAAAAATGTTAGGTATGCAAGATAAGTGTGTGCCAGTACCTCTGTAGTTATGTAGCTGCTGGCCACTGGGCTCCACCACCTCGTTATCCACAGTCACCCCTGGGTGCTTCAGACGGAGCTCGGAGAGCATCTCAAGGTCAATCTCCCCTACAGGCACAGACTCAGTTTATATGTTGAAAACCACCAATTTCTTGCAAATAAAATATTTTGCCCTATTTTCCCCATAGTACTCAAACTGTCCAGTAATAAAAAGAAGATAGTAGATTTAGTTAACCAACATATAATCACAATCATTTAATCTCACAAAAACCAGAGAGTTAACACTAATCCCTTTCAATCTCATTTAGCCACAGGCAGGTGATTTTTCTCTACTTATTGAAGCTGACAACTTCCTATGTATAAAAGATACATTTAAGTCAAGAAGCTGATCTGAACAGGCGCCGAATCTTTCTGATTAGATTGAATAATACCTTGCGGGGGAGTTTGTAGTCATTCTAATGGATTTTACAGTCCATTAGAGAATCTGTAACATCACTCCATTATGATACTGACATGACAGCTCAGGTAAATTAAAAGGATTGGCTTTGACATAAGTGAAGGGTAATAGCACTCATGGGCAAGTAGTCGGTTTGCTCAGAAACAAATTAACCTTGCTGTATCACGAGCATTGGAAACAAGGTGCAGTAAAACCACGGACTGGTGAGGTCACCTTGTCTGCAACTAAAGTTTAAGATTAATCTGACAACTGGACAGATGCAAACCCTTGACAGTTATAATAAGGGCAAGGGTTTTTACTGCTGCACCCATAAATGACAGCGCAGCAATAAGAACAGTTATAGCAGACTGATTCAACAACGCCTCCTCACCTTCGCTGTCTGTCGTGGCTATTTACTGTGCCACACGGCACATAAGATGAGTTCAGCAGTGAAAGTGTCCTTTAGTATGTGTTCTTACCAGCTCCACTTCCAACTCCGATGACATTTAGATGGGACTTTCCATCTCCAATGCTGAGGGGAGAGCAGAAAAAACTCTTTGAGACTTCAGAACAGTCAAGTCTGGAAATTCACATCCACCAACCTGCCAAATTTGGGTCACATTTTTGGGCTTGTAACTGTCAATTCTGCCTGACACTTGGGTATGTGAGATGTTCTGATCTAGCATCTGAAGCATCTCCAGTACCAAGGCTTTGATTGTTTCTATGACATGCTGTCACTCACCGTCTGATTTTGAATAACACTATTACCCTTTTTAATTTGCTTGTGAGTCATATCTCTCCAGATTCATCTCTGATCTGCTTCTTAGACAGTCACAGGGAGCAGTGAGTTGAGTTTATTTCTCTGCAGCATGGCTTCGGCCTCTTACAGCCGGAGTTTATATAAACATAGAAGAAAATGCAAGAAGACACATTTCCACACTCATTGTTATTCACACACACGCACACCTTGTTTAGCTGGTTAATCTATGCACATTTGTGCAGTCAAATATATGATTTTGTGAGCATAACAGTAAAATAAACCCATATATAATATTTTATTTGCATAGTCTGTTTTGGGATTGAGTTTAGTCCTACCCAGCTAATGCAGCTGACTGTTTTCAGAAGTAATGATCATGGCAAAATGCACGTACATGTGATTTGCACAGGTTACGTTGTGTAACTGTTTGCATGCTCAAGAATTGAACTTTTACATCACATAGCTAAATGGCACCAGAGTGACATATATAAAATACATATATATTGATTAAAAAAATTGCACTGTAGATGCCCGGTTAGCTCAGTCGGTAGAGCTGGCAACCCATATACGGAGTTGCTGCAGCGGGCCGCGTTCGAATCCGACCTGCAGCCCTTTGCTGCATGTCATCCCCTCTCTCTCCACCCACCTTTCCTGTCTCTCTACAGCTGTCTCTATAAATAAAGCCAACAAAAGGCCAAAAAGATAACTTAAAAAAAAAAAAAAAAAACTGCACTGTAATACCTTCGTATGTTTTTTGACAGATAAATGCTTACCAGCTAACCAGCCCAAACTCACTTTCAACCCATGGATGACAATGGTATAACAATACACGTACAAGTTTCACAGTGTCATGAATAGGCTGGTACTACGAAGCAAGTTCTCTATACTCAGGATATGTTTCTTTTGGCTCAACAACCACAATCACACTAAACGGTTACACGATGGTGTTAATCACCTCAGTGTGTCAACCTAATTTTTTCAACTCTATCTATAAGCGTGTTCACATAAAAGTGGGCAGTGTTTACAGCATACGACCAATTGCAGACATGGACAAGTTGCAGCAGAGCGTCATATTTTACAAATGAACAGCAGACTTTGACAAAACTATAGACAAATACAAAGAAGTTAAACACAAAATCCAGGCTAAAAAGCAACACAGTTGCAACTTCCAGATGCAGGAAGGACAGCTGGAAAAAACAACGCTGACTAGGTGAATGCGTAAATTGCCTTATAATGTCACTGCTCCACCATGAGGGCAGGAGTAAATCTGACTTTTTTATAATTCCATTAATGTATTCCACCAAATGAATGTGTTGCTTAGATGTAATCTTATGTGTATGACAATTTTAGCCTTATTCATTCAGCTGCAACATAGACAGTGTGAAACAAACTTGGGAGCAAATAAAAAATAACTATAACATTTCAAAGCGGTTACAAGTACAAGGCTTTTGTGCTTCAATCAGTCTCTCTTGAAGGATAATATCGATATACAAAAGCACAATGAAATGGCTTTGACATTGCTTGTAGCCAAGAGGGGGAAAAAATGAAATGGAAAAGGCAGGAGGAGGCCCTCCTACACTAAAGTACACTCCTGCTGAGGATCAGGTCCCCTGCTATAATGAGGGTCACCCCTTAACAGCACAAGTAAAAGTACCTGTAGCAAGTCTGCAGGGCTGTAAGCGTGACCCCGAGATGTTACACTGGCAACAAGAAGCTGACACAGCTAAGTCAGTTCCACTGATGATAATCCATATCTCTTATATAAAAATCATAAAGAGAATTGATTGGTCAGTAGCTTTTATATGCTCAAACAAAACGGTTAAGTGTGCAGCATAACGGAACCACCATTGTTTACAATGAAAAGCCGGGGGTTAAACCTAATCCTGCTCCGTAGTACAGGCCTCTCTCTCTCTGTCATTCATTCATTCATTCAGTCTGTCTGTCTGTTCACGCTCCTGTCACTGCAGACCCAGCCACACCCTCCTGCCCCTCCTTAAAACCCCGTTCCTGTCAGTTTCGTCACCTGACCTGCTCTACCTGCTCCCCATTCGCTCGGATTACTTCAGTAGTGTTTGAGAGTTGTTCTGTGCTTCCCCTTTCCCCCATTTACAGGTTAAGATTATTTCTTCCCTCACAGCAATCCAGTTAATCAACAACCATGTCATATATTAACACAAGTTACATGTTCACTGTAGTTTGACCATTACAGGATTGTTGAGTTTGAGTTTCAGTGTGAGAATGATTGAGTTCCAATATTTGATAATCAAACATAACGATAATATTTTCTTTTTTTTTTTTTTATGGTTGAAAGATGAACAATAAACTTGTGATTGCCTTCTTGTGGAAAAGCTATTTGGGAGAGACACTGTTTCTAAATAATCAAACATATATATACTCATACTAATAAACACAATCATACATATTTCTTTACTGCAATATCTTGAAAACTAATATCACCTGTTATATTGGTTAGACTTTAATGTCCTCTTCCTTCATTTTACTTAGCCCCTTAACTGTATTTCTTCTATACTGTATTGGCCAATCAGTTTATTAAACTTCTGTTTAGAAATGTTGAGAGACTCCACTACAACACTACTGTACAGTCTACTGTACAACTTTAAAAGCCAGTGGTGTAATGCAGAGCACATATACTTTATTATATTTCAGTCAGCACTCTGTAAGCCCACTTCTGGTGAAGCTGTTTTTTTTCCTACAATGGTGTGGGCATGACATAGTTGTCAAATTTTCATGAGTGGATAGAGTAAGGAATAATTCACTTAAATTACATAATAATATGTAATGGCCGTCTGTGGGCCAGTATTGATTGCAAAATCTGCACCTCGTCTGTGGCTGATGTTAATTTCATAATGATCTTTACTGCCAAGTCGAGCAGCAGAAGTTAAGTGACAATGTGCAAACACTACTGGCCCATTTTTGGGTGAACTAAATAGTCTTGCATGTCACAGTTAATAACACAGGGCGTTTGCTGGATGGCTGCTTTAAAAAAAACTAATATTTTGGGCATAAATTAAGAGTATACCCACTTCTCCAGGCACTACTACACCACTGTTAAAAGCTATTAACTATTCAACTGTATTCTGATGTATTATCTTGTATTGTGTCTGTGTGTGTGGAAGATTACCTGGCCAGTATATCTGGCAGCAGATTGTGGATGAAGTCCCGCATACACTGATGCTCAGAGGAGCGCTCCAGAAAAAGCTCGAAGGATTTCTGGTACCTGCTATCATCATGAACCAGACTCTTCAGTGGAGATGCCATGGCAAAGTTATCTGGCAACAAAACAGCAAACATTTCAACAGCTAAAGCCAGAAAGGTAATTTCCCAAAACAATATATATGTATATATGTGTATATATATATATATATATATATATATACATATATATGTGTGTGTGTGTGTGTGTGTGTGTGTGTGTGTGTGTGTGTGTGGAGAGAGAGAGGTTCTTTTCTGTTTCTATGTTTTAACAAAGTTGTGGCTGAATGCTGTTGCTGACCACTTATACCCATCATATATCAGTCAAACAGTGTGGGAGGTACTAAGACTGAGTGTATATTCATGTCAATTTATTAATTTCACAATGTGTTGTTTTCATATTGTACATTGCATTACACACTTAATTCACAAAAACATATATTATCTTAGATAAGTCTAAAAACAGAAGTCAGCCATTGCAAATTAGCATTTAGGTTTCAGTCATCACGTATATTTCCTTTAAACTTGCAAAACTGAAGGTCGAACATCCGTCAAGCCCGACTCCCAACGTGAAGCGCACTTCTCTCTAGCGACGGAACGCTATTATCCCCGCCTATAGGAGAGTATGTCTCCAGCAACCTGCATGTCATGTCTCTATAACCATTACAGAGATGCCCGTGCATTCAAAGCAATGTTTCCTAGAGCTGCGGAAACAGACACACACACACACAGACTGCGAGTCTGTCGCGTCGACATTTTTAACTGATCGGAGTGCAAACAAGTTGTCACTCTCTCAATGAATGTCGCCGCACCCGTTTAACATTATATTCTCCGAGCATGTGGTGTTTAAACTGCAGACAGATTGTGACAAAACGCGACATTTTAACACTTACATGTAGGTGCAGGCGGGGGTGAATGTGTCTGCCGCGAATGAGTCTGCAGGCTGGAATAAAACCCTCCCACTGAGTCCCGCAGCTCCGTTTTAAGGAGGGCCAAAGGTGGCAGAGAAAATCCCTCAAGATATGTCAACCCAGTTACAAACACTACTCTTTAAAGGTCTGCAAGTGATTTTTACGGTAGGTTACAGGTGCACTGCATGTTCACAAGTTTAACTGAAAAGTTTGACTTTAATGTCTGTGTGTAAATACATGTGGAGTAAATGCCTATTTTTTCAGACTTGGTGGTAAGGTTAAATTAGATGAGCATTAATATCATAGGACATATCAAAGGCTGCAACTGCGGGTGATTGAAAAATAAAATTTATTTTGAAATAATGTGTGTTTGTACTCATTGTTGCCATTAGTTTCCATTTATTTTACTATGCTAATGTATCAAAATCGGCTTCCAAATACTTAAGCAATCCATCATCCATCCTCAGTTTCACTTCCATTTTTGTTGCATAACAACACAGTGCAACACTGCACTTCTGAATTACACAAAGAAAATGTAATTTAATAAAAGCAGACAATATTTATTGTGATTTAATTCAAGTCTCAACAAGCTGAGCTCTAAGAAACCGTAGCATGCTTTGATAAAGTCAGCAGAAATGTTAAGTTAGGATATTGCAATATACTCTAAAAGACTAACTATGAGATTTAAGAAGATAGTTCATATACTATATAACAGATGATGGTCAGTGTAGAAAAAAAAACACAAGACTATAAGACTATATGAAGAGAAATACAGAAATGCCTGTGTCTCCCTGATTTCCCAGTTGTTATGTCAGACAGACAGGAATTAGGCCAGGAACTCAAATTAGATTGTAATCAGGCCACAGACCTCATCTGATAAGATTTTAATCCATGGAGTCGAACCCAAAAGGAGTTTTTAGTCAGATATGATTTAGTAGCCAGTGGTCCATAAGGTAGTTGTTTAGATAAAAGTCTATAATAACATGCATTTTCAGACGTGTACCCCTGTGGTGAATATTTATATTTTAGTACCTCAGTGAAAACTCAGGACATTCACTGGGATCCTCCGGTCTCAACTCACACTGACCTTGTTTTAGGAGACTGGGCCCTTTTTGTGTATTCAAGCAGACATTAAGGACAGATTTCCTTTTTCCCTTGTGCATTAAGAATTCCCATATGACCATTAAAACAGCTTTTTATTGAACATTTGAAGTTTCATTTGTTCTTCTGTTTTTCACTTGATGCATTTTGCCTCAAAACTGACAGAAGTAAACAAAAATCAATACATAATATTTCTTCACCTTGATATTTCTGCCAGAACATGAACTAAAGCTAACTGTATTACATCAGTTTCCCCACCCTTCATTGGCTTGAATTCAAGCCAGACTAAACTTCAAAGTCCCATTATTAATTACATGAGCTTGCACCATCTTATCCATCCGACCTCATTGTTCTCCGTGTGCCACCTCTGTGCTCTCAAATTGCAGGGGGCTGGTCTTTGTATAATCAAGAAAATTCTACCTAAAACTAAGAAGACAATGTGGGCGGAAAAGTATTTTCCTTCCAAGCTTCATGTCTTTGAAATGAACTCTCTCTTGGAACTGATGAAGCAGAAACCCAGTCAAATGAAGACACTCATTAGGATATCAAAGTAAACAACTGTCTCTTGGTCTATTTCTCTCTTACACACACACACACACACACACTGTTGTGCATATAGGACAGTGTTACTTATTTTGCTTGAATGATTACATAATGCTGTACACTGTGGGAAAGTAGCAACTCCCTCACTATTTGCTAAGCCCTTTTTGTAAGAAAGGTTGACATTCTCTCATACAGTTTTCTTTGTTTCCTTTATTTAAATTATATTCAGTAAAACGCAGAAATGTTCAAAGAATTTCATTTATGTTTATTTCTTAAAAACAAAAGGACATGCTATCAAAGCTGTAACCTGTCTGAGTGTCTGAGTTATCAGTGGAAGCCATCTTGTGTTGGTGCTTAAAGAGAAGTAACCTCTACAACAATCCTTCTATGTTATGTATGAGTAGGTTCTCAGATCTGATTGGATATGGGATGACATGACACCTAATTAAAATACATGATGTGCAAATGATTTGTTTATTTGGAATGTGATGTATTTCTGTTAACATATCGAATAATGAATTGAGGTCTTGTTGGTAAAACAATGTATAATTCAACTCTCTATTCTGGATTTCTGTCCTGATAGGCCTGTTTGAACTGGAAAGGCAGGTTCTCTTTACAAAGTGCCTCAATGTTTTTCTTTGTTTCATTTTTTCCTCTCTTTTTTCAGCATGCCTCCACAGGATGTTTTGTGTTCTGCACAGTTCACCATACAAACCTGCACCTCTGTGAAAGCATACACAAATGCCATATTTAACAAGGACTGCAGTCATAGCCAACTAAAAAGTATTAGACAATTAAATTTTTGACCCGATGATCACTCTAGATGAAAGATTGAAGGGAGCAGGACAATTATTACACTTCAACCTGAGGGGGTCACACAAGACCACAAATGTCAACCTCACATTTAAAGAAAAACCAGAGGATCACCAAAGTCATTAGGATTTGCCCTCTGGAGACTAATTAAACAAATTTCATGGTAATCCATCCGCTCGTTGTGGAGGCATGTTGCTAAAGAGCAAACATGTCTACCTCATGGTTGCACTCGAAAAGTCAGGGGATCACCAAAGTCGGTAGGATTAATCTTCTGTATAAATGTCTGAGCAAAATTTCATGAGAATCCATCAAGTACTAGCAACTGCACTTGCTGTTTAATATTGCAGACATTTCATTATTTATCTAAGAGGTTTCATCGGTTCTATTGATTAAGCCTGACGGCAGGCATTTAGACCTCTTTGGCCATAAGACATTAATAAAGGATAAAGGATATGTTGTATGCAGTATATATAGGTCTGTTGGTCAAGAGATCTTTGATGCACAGTCATATCAAACATGCAACTTGTATTCCTGGTTTAATTCCAGCTAGTGACTTCTGATGCATGGCTTCCTATTCTGTCTTCCTGTTGTTCTCTACCATCAACATTCAATAATTCAATAAAGACCAAATTCCAGGAATACAGTCTTAAACACAGATTCATTTTTGGAATACAAGAAAACAAACAAACAAACAAACAAAAAACAGAATGATGAAAACTGGAAGAATTTCATCACTCTGTTGGGGTGTAGACAAGCACATAATAACTCATAAATTATAATACACATTACTTCAAAAGGTTGTGCATTGTGCTGACTAAATATTCATTAAGCTGTCACTCTGCTCTACCAAAGTACAGCATGCTGCATTGTATTAGAGTGATCCAGCCTGATCCACTGCTATTGTCAAACTGCTCACATATCTTCACGGATACCTGCAAATATGTCTTGAGAGCTGCTAAAATGAGATGAATTGGACATGACAAGATCAGCACACGTCTTTGCCACCGATCAGATGGCCATGACACAAGCATTTGGATTCACCCTTCTCTTAAACAAAAGTGACAGTCTTAAATAAATGAATTAGATGAGACAAAAGATTTAAACACTATTTCCCCCACAACCTGTGTGCATCCTGGGATTATCAGACTGGGTATCTGACTGGAGGGCAAAATGAATCTTATCAGTTGCTTATATATTCTGGGCTCTGCCTCAGAGCCTGTATCAGTAATTACAATTTATCAGGTCTTGAGAGTCAAGGAGTCGATGAATATCACAGCAGGAGTAGAGCATCTCTCTCAAAAAGATTTCTCTCACTTTAAACTCTTGAAATGTGCAACAAAGAGGAAAGAATGCAGTGTTTTATTTTCACATGGTTCCACAATTTATTTGCATTTTTGTCCAGCTCTCCATGTACACACAATAGTAACACAAATAGCATGGTACTGTAAACAATGAGTGAATATACTTTTAGATTTTCCTGGATATAACCCAATAGAATTATCAGGTCAGAAGTTGGCTTTTCTTTGTTTTTATAATGGAAATATTCCCAAATCATTAGTTTATTATAATCATGTTAATTAGAAATTATCAGTATTTCACAATTGGATTTTACATTGATTTAACATTTACCATATGTCCCTTTGTTGGCCAAATATTAGAAACACTGCCTCAAAGAAACTACTCTAAAATGTTTGGCAACTTGTAAAACAGAATCTTTGCAAGGCCACTCGGAGCACTTTCTGACAAAATGGATCACGCATGCCTACATACAATCAGCTGTTGAAATACAATTGTTACAACATGTAACAACCCTATTTGCACAACCATTAAGATTATAGAGTTACTGGTAAAATACATTCAGAATGTGGTCAGATAACACAAAACCAAATCTTCAGTTTGTGGAGGCAGAAAAAGAAACAGCGTAAACTCAGCTCTGGTCAGTGCCAAAACCACCAAGTATAAGAAACTTCATTCTACACTAGGTTGTATGAATAATGCACTGAAGGATACATGTCTGAATTATATTAAATGTAAGTGTTTATGGTCCATTAAGATGCTTTGGGATGATGCTCTGGCACTGCATTGTGGATGCCTTGTGTTGTAAGTGTCAATCTGAAAGAATTCCAGGGAAGGATAAATGATCTTAACTTTTGTGCATGAGTTAGAAAAACAAAAATAAGAGGCTCGCTTGTGTGCTCACAAATATTTGGTATTTGCTATGTTTTGAGCCCTGTCTTCGTGGTGCCAGAATCAAAATAATTTCAGAATTCAATACTGTCAAAAACTAATTTCTGCCATTGCTCTGTGGCAGCTGACCTTGTATTTGGATGTAATGAAAAAAATGGTGTAAAAAGAAAATGTGTGACATCCTTGTGAAAGAAGCAAAGCATATTTGTTCCAGTGGATAATTCATGTCTGTTTTGGTGATCAGTGCTTTTTTGTTTTGCATTTGATGAAAAAGTATATGAGGTATGATCTTTACCATGCTGGTATTTGATAATTTGCATTAAAGGTCTATTGTTTTCTGTTAATTCTTCACTGCATTTGTCACCAAAGCAGTCCGCCATGTTTTTTCCATGATTTTGAGGTTGTTTCTTAAATTAGTCCTCAGTGGCCGAGAGTCTTACGAGAATCAGGAAAGAGATATTACTGCATCATTGTATTGTTAAATTCAAGGCAAGCCTGCTTTTGGTTTCCACATATACATCAACAAAACACAATCTGACAGCAACAACTTGCATTACAATGAAAACACTAGAAAAGTCATTTGAAAGGAAAAAAACTAAAGTGATTCAGCACTAACGTAGTGCATAGAGCATCTTGTTTATTCTCAGAAATTCAAAAAAAGGCTGTTTGTTTACCCAAAAGGCTTGTGACATTTCCTTTTACAAAGATCCAGCACTGATGAGACAAAGTCAAATGTCAAATGTTCTCTTGTTCCACCTTTGAATGTCATGAGTGACTGCTGACTCAAGATGTTCTGTCTCCCTCACGACACAAATACGAGACAAATAACCAGGTGGTCCCTCTGATTTTTAACACGCAAAAGAAATCCCCAAATCAATGGCTGTGGATCCACTTTGTCTTTACCTTTTGTGGGTTGAAAACAGTGCTTCAACTATGTGTTCACATTGCTAGCAGTTAAAAAAAAAGAAACCAGAGGACCATTTATTTCCCGTCTAGAGACCTTTTATCTCATTTTCACCATGTTCGGCTTTGGTTCCTCTTCTTCCGGGAGGAGAGTTAGCTGCAGCCAAAATTCTGGGCTCCGTTGCCCTTCAGCAGCAAATCATGTGCGAGCATCTTTATTTGTCTGCTGCAGTTTTACAGTACAATTGGCACTACAGCAAACAGTCACCCAGCTCAAACTGGCCGACAATCGTCCTTGCTAACAATCTGAACGCAGTCAGGAGTCTGTCCGAGGTGGAGCGCGCCCTTGTGAGGTATAGCAGCCTGGTTACATATCCATATCACCATCATAGGCCAGGGTCAAGGGCTTCTGCGGAGGTGGAGACGTCTTAGTGGTTTTGGATGGCTTACTGAAAAAGAAAATAGACAGGAAATAAAAGTGACAGCATATGACTAAGCAGCAAAGGGCAGCCCGACTTGATTTCAGTCTTTACAAAAAATTCCATTATCTGATAGCAGCAGCACACAGAAGACAAAATATTGCGAAGAATATAACTCATACTTGACATGGTTCTTTTCGTGAAAAGCAGATGGTTAGCAATTTTCTTTGGTTCTGTATGTTCTCATCTACAGTGTGCGTGTGTGACCTACAATGGAGCTTTTGTTCTTGAAATTGCACAGTGCATAATGAGGAATCTTTTAAAAAGTAATATGGTACATACCAGACCAGGAATGATAATGCAATAATGAAGAGTATTAAGATGAATCCAACAGCAGTCACGGCATAAACCCACAGCTTTACTCTTCCATCTGTGCAATCAAAAAGCAGTTTTAACACAAAGTTTTAAATACACATATGTCTACGTCTTCTGCCTGGAGATCTTTAGAACTTTTTTTCCTCATGTTTCAGAATAAAGAAGTAGGTTTATTCTCTTTTCACATATAGGAGAAACTAAAATTTCTTGACATTTTTATGAGCCATTGAGGGTTTTTTTTTTTCACAGCATATAATGATGAGCCCGACTAAAAACATTGACCTAGAATGGATTCCACCCCCGGCTCAGTCATCCTAGAGCTACAAAGGCTGGTTCAAAGGCAGGAATGATCTCAGGCCTGCTGCTCGAGCTGTAAAGATGATTTCCATTTCAGTACCTGGGCCAACAGGTCGTAAGGTCCACTCGTTGAAGAGGTCCTGAGCCTGAGACGGCCCGGGTTTTAATCTTCCAGAGTTGGTTTTCACATCAGCTTTCTTGTTGTTGTCCACCCCTGGGGTTCTGGTGCAGTAGTCCAAGAAGCCATGCGTGGTCATCACTTCAGTGTAACCCTTCTCACACCCACACACTCCGCTCTGCATGGGGGGAGGGCAAAACCAGAAGAACACAATTTATAGCCAACACAAGACAACTATGATCATTACTTTACCAGTGATATGAAACACTGCTGAAAAAACCTGTCTTGCGTGTACAGGGACTGTTTTGGTTTACTTTAGTCTTTCAAAAGGCTTTCTGCTATCAGCGCAGGTTGATTTATCCCAACCCTGACATTAAACTGTGCTCCTCAGGGGGTAGATTGCACCAACACTTCCCAGGCATTTCATCTGCATTAAGCATCTAAAAGGCTATTAAATAAAAAACACATGTCAAATGGAATTGAATAGCAGAGTCCACCCGGGTGGAAAATGTAACAAATGTGGCAAAAATATGCCACTGAGACAAACAAAAAAGAAAACAAAATCATGAGATAAGACACCTAAAACAAAGCATAAAACATTAAAATATAACACAAAATACTGTGGATCAAGATTTGTTACCCAGTTTTTGAGTTTAAATGCTGATTGCACTTGGAATAAAAGACCTTTTCAAAATATATTGGGTTGCCAAAGGTACCTTAGCACCTTCCAGAGGCAAACGGAGAAAAAAAAGGATAAGAACAGTTTTATTTGCAGTTCAGGTGATCAAATCCTGAAGTCAAGTGGAATGTTAAAACACTCTCAGTCAGTGTAAGACTGACTGAAAACGGTTGTGTCTACTAAGAAGATGAAGCTGTTGCTTCATGAAAGCTTCAGTCATTGTTTTTGCATTTTTAAGTGCAGTTACATGGATGGTACTCAGAGGGGCAGTAAAACTTCAAGCTTTGGCTATTCTTAGTCATTTTCATGAATGCTTGTGTGCAGTTTCCCTCCAGCTAAGTGTAGTCCTTAACTGAAGCTGAACCCACATTTATTGGTATTAAGGTGATCCTTTAATTGCAATTAAAAATGTCATTTGTCAAAATCCATTTTTAACCCCTGACCTTGAATGTGATAGCAGCAGGAAACACACACAGTGAGAATTACAGAGATCACAGCTGCCTGATCAAAGTACAAAGATCTTACCGGTGTGCAGTGTGAGAAGGGTTTAGTGCACGGAGGATGGCAGTGTCTGACTGTGGTCGGCCTTTTCTGCGGGAAACAGCCCCCTGGAGAAAAACAACAGGTTCTTATTTCTGTTCCTTTACCCATTGATCACTAAATTAATGTACTGTCACACCTGATTAATGGGCTCAGTTGCCTATCAGGGTCCCTGATCAATCTGTGAACATTTTAATTCCAACATGGAAAATTGCATGTCAAAATATCAAAGAGTAATGCCTTGGGTTCTTGCCTTCTCTGCAGAGGAAGCTTATTCCTTCTGGGCTCATATTTGCCAGAAACACTTCCTTACAGCGATAAGATCACATTCACCCACTATTTACAGCACATCAAGCTCGCCTAAAGCTTTCGTTCCCACAGCACTATTACCTTTGTTCTGTTTCTCTACGCCTGCTTTACTTCCCACAAATACAAATGCATGATTATATTTATATGGATTGAAAGCCTCCCAGCTCAGAGTCTGGCTTATTGATTACTTATGTTAAGAGGGAGAGGCGAAATCAATAGAGGCTGCACTGAGAATGGGCAGATCAAATAAGGTGTTAAATTCAACTAGAACACTATACTAAAATTATTCTTTATATGTGTGTGTGTGTGTGTGTGTGTGTGTAAGAGACTGTTCCCACTGCAGGCTGTCATGTACATTTTTGACATGATGCCAGCTGATTTCTTTGCAGGGGGTGAAGTCACAGATCATATCAGTTGTAGGATATAACCCATATAAAGGATACTAATATTGTAAACTGAGATTAACAATTGCAGAAGACATCACATCCGTTTTTTGTATCCACCCTTCTCACTTGTTTCCATTCAATTATCTCCTGAGCCAACAAGGAAATCCATTCAAAATGTATTTCTGAACCACCTGCTACAACCACCTCTGCCAAAATTACCAGTGTGGCAGCTTTATCAGATGAATGAAAGAAAATACTTACTGTCATGGCAACACTTACAAAATCCTTTTTGAGCTATCAAATAATCTGATATTGTAGAACATATCCATGTGATCTAGACTGAATTGAAAAATGTGACACCATGCAGCTTTTTGCTGCTCATGCTGATTCAATTCATTGCGGGGGAACAAAACCAGAACTGGGACACTTTCAGCTGCTCTCTGCATTAAGCCAGATATACATAGATATTCATATTTATATAAGAATGTGTGTCTGTGTGTGTTCCCATGAGTGCTTCTGTACAAACCCTCTAGGGTGGCCAGAAGACGCAGCAACTACTCACCTGTGACATTGACACCATCTGAGCGCTGACACCAGACTGCTCTCTCATTGTTGCTCCATCCTCCTGTCCTCCACTGGTAACTGTGGCATTTTCCTCCTGCAGCAATGGCAGAAACGTTGCTCATTAGCAGCTTGTTTTGGGCATCCAGCCCTGTCATCAGTCTCCCATAGACACTAACCACCACTTTTTCTGCTGCCCTGCTACTTCATATTATAAGGTAAGTCATATTATGTTTGTAGTGAAAGGAAAAGCTCTTCCTCTGAAGCAGTGCTACGAGATAAAGGTATCTTTGGAGGAAATGAGATGGTAGAAATTGGTTGGAAATGTATGAAAGACACCCATTATTTTCCAAGAGGAGGCTCTTATTTTCCTGGAGGTAGCTATAGGGAAAGATTGATTTAAAGAGAGGAACAGTCAGAGACACTTGAGCCTGATTTTATGTATTAAAGAAAATCTAGCCACACATGTAGTGAAACATGTAGTTGAATTTTATGGAAAGATCACAAATGTAAGAAACATCGACAGGAAAGGACTTTAAAATACAGGATCTAGATTAAAGTTACACATTTATCTACACAGGTGTGCGGTATTAAAATGAAGTACCAGACAATTACCATTTTAAATGCAACTGTAAGCAGCTAGTTAATAAGGGAAAGGAGAACTGGCAATAGCCCAAATACTTGGCGACGGTATGTACTGTAGGTTCAGAAATAAAAAACTAAAACAAGTTCAAGGTTATGTAATGAAACAGCTGTTAAAAATTACTACTGCAGTAGAGATTCAAAAACAGTTATTTAAGTATTCCACTGTGAAATATACACGTCTCCTTTGGGTTAGTCAGCAACCAGATGCATCAATCTCCATCTTTCATCAAAACTGGAGAAGTGGTTTGACCTTCGTACAAATACTGGCCCTTGGTAGCCTTTTCATCATTTTGTAATTTTTAAGCGCTAACCCTCCTGCGACACAGTCTCAATGATAGCTTTGCCATTGCAATCACAAAACTGCCATTTACAGCAGGCTGGCCATTTAGAAAGTACTTGTAATATCACCTTTTAGCCTTTTACCTCCATATGAACAGATTTAACTTATGTGGAGTGTGGTTTCAAGGTCAGTAGAATGAAACTAAAATATTGGTGTGCCCCTCATGAGTAGATCTGAAGTTTATTAATTGTTTATTAAAAGACGTCTACTTCATTGATCCATCTTGAGGATCAGAGGCTTTCGTTCTTTAAGATGCAATTTTCAAAATCCCAACAGATGCAGTGTAACAGCAGGGAGGAAGGAGGAATTAAGTTGTTCTGAATTAAGGTAAATGTGGGGCTTCAAGATACTTCACACATACTTTTTAGCATCTGCCCCTAATTTATATTAATAAAGTCCTTCAGTTGAAGTTCTCACCTGGCTGCAGTGATGTAGAAGCACACAGGGTGTGTTCTTTTTGACTTGATACTACTACTTCCTGAGAAAAATATATTGCTCTTTAGCTGCTAAATGCTCCATTAAGTTCAGCAGCTAGTGGCAAACTTTGATGCTTTGAAATTTTGGTGCTGAGCATGCAGCGTACAGTGAGTTTATCAGAGCCTTTTCACTGAAAACAGCTGCAAGAAAACCAAAGGAGAACTGCAGAGCTGGGTATTAATTCACTGCAGGTTTGTCACGATCAACGATCAACGATTCTCACATACAAATACTCATGTGAACCTTTTCCAATGCTATACTTCAAGATGCACATAGAAAATCTTATTTTATTAACAGTAGCTGCCTTTACATCAGTGTATTTTTGACATTTGTGTATAAGTGGTTTCTTCAGTACCTTTACAGGGCTGGGTCTCAAAGACTTGATGTGGGCAGCTGCCCTGGTTCTCCATGACCTGAATGATCACAGCTCTCGAGCGAGCTTGGCGCCCTGTGGTCTCAAAGCTTCGCCCCTCCAGGCAGGTCAGCTGGCAAGAACTCCAAGATGACCACACAGTCAAATGACAGTCTCCTGAGGGCAGAAAGAGAGAGAAAAACCATCACTGATAGGCACCACTTGGTCAATAACACTGTCTAACACTTTTTTAAAAGATATTTGAGGGTGGTTTTATATTCGGTTTTCCAACACTATTTCAGGGATCATTTTATTGGCTCCCCTGCTAGCTCCTGGAACATTTAAAAGACATCGAAAAACAACTTCAGCACACATCTGCGGCTGATAATGTACCAAATGCACAAACAAATTACTCAGACAGCCCAGTGGGTATTCAGAAGTAATAGACCAACCAGAATTATAAATTATACAATATAAGCTATAACTCTGAGCCCAACTGTAAAGGCAATACCCAATACTGAAACAGGTCTCTTAGGAGAAGCAAAACTCATTTGGTTTGGGAAATGCTTTCAGAGGATAAAGGCTGGTTGATGTATTCTCTGAGTCTATGAATAACACGTCAACACTTGCTTCCTTGAAGGTCAAGCATTAATATCCTATGTAATCCTTGATAGGGTCATATTGTAGTAATAATATCACCCACTTCCACAGCTCCTCAGCCAGAACAACACTCTGATTCTCTGCCCTGAACAACCATTAGTGACTGTCTGTGGACTGACGCATCTCATTATCTTTCATCTTTATACGGATCCACTCAATCAGCTTTTCCCCCATGCTGCTATGGCTGTAGAAACATGCTGTGGCAAAAGCTGCAGTGTACAGCAAACAGCAACACCCATACACACATAGTGTACATCACATACATGTCGACAATCCCTCCCCTGGCCCCTATACTGCGCCCGCCACCTTCACACCAACACACACGAACACAAACGCACACACATCTGCTCCAGCCATCAAACACTTCTGATCCTGAGCCAAGGCTCACAGCAAAGGCGAGTTGAGTGATGAATCAAGGCAAGGATCAGAGGAGAGCGAGAGACAGATGAGCAAAAGCAAGCATTGCAAGATGGTGTCTCTTCATAGCAAAAGCTAACAAGAGCCTCGTTTCGCAAGAACCATGCCGAAGGAGATCAGAGATGTCTTTTTATGAGATGATAATGATTGTGTTTTTCGTTTAGAAATGACAAAAAAATCACATAAATTCTTTTCTACTTGTGGAGCTGGCTTGCACATCAGAAAGCCTAAGGACAGTAAAGCTTCATTATAGATTTTCAGTGTGGAAAGCCTGACAGTGACAAGTGAATCAGGTCATACTGTAGCTGTCAGATACCCAGAAGCTCCCTTACTAACAGCAAATGCTACATTCACACTATGGCATAAATGTGGATAAAAAAAAGTCAGCATCATGGGATGTCAGTCAGCTATGATCTGTGGGTTTCTTGTTGCTGTGGTAATTTTTATAATGATAAGATCAACCATTTCACTGTGCACAGATATAATTAAAAACAATGACAATGATTTATATCAAAAAACATTAAAAGCACATTTTCTTTTTGTCTATACAATCTCAATTTAAATAAACGTGAAGAGCTCCATCAAGCCTGAATTTGTTAACACTGTCTACTTCATTGTAAGAGGAGGCTAAAACAACAGGAGCATAAAGTTACAGTAAATCAGTTTTTTTTTTTTTTCACTGTCAAGTCCTCTCCACTGTTAACAGGCAGTGCCAAGATTCACCAAGTATTTTTTTACAGCTACAGTACTGGCAGCACTCTGCAAGCACTGGTGCACTTTTATCATTATCCATCACAGAAAACAGCATGCATATGGTTTGATGTGTAGTGCAGACTTCCAACAGTGAATGCAGTAACACTATTAAAATTGCAAGGGAAACAAGTTGATCTAGACCTTCTCCTGATGCATCTCACTAGGAGTGGACTGTACAGTATGTCAGCTCAGCTGTTATTAAAGCATGCAGGGCCCTGGCCTTAGCAATTATTGACTAACACAGGTGATCTCAAATGATGCAGTTCAGTAATGTAATTTGTCTAATATCCAAATGTAGTGATGCACCTACGAAAGACAAACCTACTCCTCGTTTAGTAGCTACAACAGATCGTATAAAATAACATTTTTGGGTAGTAACATACGATACGGAACATCTTATCTTAACTTATCTTAACTTATCTTATCTTATCTTATTTTATGTTACTACACAGAAATGTTTTACGTACCAATAGGTATATCATACAGGGCTTAAAATGCTAAATTAAGTGAACTATTATATAGCAACAAATTTTTAGAATGTTCCAATACTTTTCTAACTGCATACTGCTTTATTTTTTATGCAGTTTTTCTGAATAATAGGCTATAACACATCCACTGCGTCTTTTTATAACACAGAAATACAATGGCCACAATTTCAGTTTAGGTAAGTTGTTATTTGATAGCGCAGGAGGCAAATCTCCTTATTTTTAAGATGAAGGTCTTTCCTTTTAGATTTCTATCCAGGTACTCGAAGTCAACAGGTTTTTCTGGAGGCTGGTGGTTCTTAGTGGTGGACTTACAGCTCTCAAATGAAGTTGTGTTACACTGTGATGAGGTTTATGACATAAGAAGCTGATTTGGCTTGTAGAGAGAAAACACATGCAGCTCGTTATTTCCAAGTACCCCCAACATGTCAGTCTTGTACCTCTGGGTATCATTGCTTCTTTTACCGCTGTGTCTGCACTTGGTGCTGCATAATGATGTGTTGCTTCCACCTTGTAAAAATCACCATTCTGAATTAGTTTACCAATGTGATGCAACCTGAGAAAGTAGTGTAAGCTAGAATAAACCCAATAACATAATTGTATTTGGTTATCTCATATGTTCTTATGATATACTGGCTTTATAATAGCAATACATAAACAATATGTGTAGTCAAAGCTGTTCTTACTTAAAACTAGTTTTATTCTGATTTGCATTTTTGCTGTTGGAAAATTGTTGCTTTTGCACTTACACACAAGCTCTCCCCGTACAGAATTTTTATAGCTGTTAATTGCGCAGTTGTGATAGGCAGTGTGTTATTTCTCTCAGCAGTATGATCGGTTAATTGTTCCAGTTAGCACAGGATGAGATTTCACTCTTATTATCTCTGAAAAAAAAAAAAGAAAAAAGATTTCCAAGTGGTCTTTTTTTTTATAGTTGTTACTGGATGTGCCCATCCAGATAATGTAAGGCTAAAAGGGTCATTAGTTGGTCTATGACTTATTGATTTTGCAATCATTATTTAGCAGCTGAAAATGTCAACTGATTGAACAGTGTATTGGCAGATTCCAGCAAATGAGTTTGTGTTCAGAAACAACATTATTGATTATAAAGTAAGTGACCCAGACCAAAACATTACTGTTATTATGAATTCAAAATTACTACACTGATAAATAATTCATGCACTCATGTAGTTTTGCTCTATTTGAGCAGATTACTATACAAATAAAATTGAATTGAATTGAATTGAATTACACAATTATAATATAATATATTTTATGCAATTATATCCATGCTTAATATACGTCAACACATTTAAAAAACAAAGATGTTAATTCAATATTTTTGAGTGCAACTTTTACCTGGGCAGGGGACGAAGCAGGGCTGCTCCATCTCCTGTTGGATGAGCTGCCTCAGTTTATCTCCACAAAGCTCCTCCTCCACGGGCTGAGGAAGAGACTCATCGCCCCAGTGAACGACACAAGACAGGTTCCGTCTCCGAAGCCCCTCACCACACGCTGCACCCTGCATGAACGTGCACACAAGTGTGACCTTTGTAAGGTTTACCAACAGGTCGTTAGGAAGTCCTCACAAAATAATTTTCTTTACTTGAATATAATGAACATGTTGAAAGAATGAGATGAAACCAACTAATAGTAGTTGGGTGGTGCTCCCCAGTGGCATTAGAATAGACTAATAACTAGTTCACACTGGAATATCTAATATATAACTTAATGGAGCTTTTTTTTTAATCTTTGTGAAAATATCAGATATACAGAATGAATGCATTTAATTATTTACAAAACAGCTGCTGATTTAACTATTCGGAAATTTGCACTGTTTACAACCAAGATCACTTGCTACCCATCTCCTTTTCCTTGCATTTTTGTGTGTGTTTCCACCACCTGTAGGTCAATGAAACAGTGTGACACCACTGGCATCCACCTGTCACGTCACCCATATGCTTGTGTGTGTGCAAGCACGTGTGCATACAAAATGGGGACCCACTCATAAAAGCACTGCTCCATAGCACTACTAGTGGTCAAAGAGTCCACAGGGTACCTTTAAGAAATGGGGCAGTCCAGTGTGAAGTCATTCAAAACTGCACATGCTTGAAAATTATGATGCATGATGGTAAAGAAAATCAGAAACCAAGAGTTTTGCTTTATGGAGCAACTGGGCACCCTTTGTCAGTACATCACATGGATGTAGAAAATTGAAACCTCACATCTAGTATTCACAGTGGAAATCATACCTCTACAGTGCATGGGGACCAGTCACTCAGCAGCCACGTGTAGCAAGGCCTTATGGGACATGGCTTGGTCTGGGTGAGCTGGTTGGGACAGGACCGACCCTCCTCATGAGCCTCCTGCAGAATTGTCCGGGTGCGCACAGACTGACCTGCAGAAGATCAAGGCCAACACATTGTTAGGAAGAACAATACATTAAAGGAGACCCAAGTATATAAAGCTGCATTTACAGAGCTTCAATGTCCAAGCTTAATACTTTTTTTGCCTTTGTATGTATGAATTTAAAAAATGCTGATGTTTTTCAGGGCCACTGTTAATATGAATAACCTCTTAAGAATAAAAAGAAAAAGTAAATAAAGAACAAAAACAGTGTGGGATTCATACACTCAGAACCTAACTACAGGCGAGGCAGGGTGAGAGAAACAAATGCATCATTGCAGAAACATAAAATAACAGTTAATAAAATGAGATGAATGATGATCCTTTATTTAGGAGTGAAAAGAGGCTCCGCTTCTCTTTAGCCTGTGAAATATTTCCTTCATGACAAAGAGGACTTAGTGCAACAGCACCATATATCTGTGTCATCGTGCCACTTTATGCTCATATCTAACTGTTTCCTACACAAGTGCTTTCTTCAAGTGAACCATTAATAATGTGTGAAAGAAAATGTTTGGTAAATGGCAACAGTGAAAGGGACTGGCCATACGTGTAGTAACAGCTCAGTGTCTAGGTCCTATGAGCTCAGAGAAGGCATGGCCTCCATCAGCCATCCAGTCAAGATAGAAGCTATGTGTTTGTGTTATGCCAGGGGAGATGCTGAGCTCCATGGGCCCCAGGCAGACACAGCAAAAGGAAGTTCAGCTCTGCCATCTCAAAAATCAAACCCAAAACATTAACGCTCCCATGGCGTTTTGACAAAACAAGATCTTTGCATCGTCTGACACAGATACGACGCAAATCCCTCATCAAGGCTGACAGATGCATTTCACAATGTGTAAGAAGGAACTGCGAGAGTGACAGAGAGACAGTCACAGTGACAGTGGCAGAGAAGAGAGAGTCTTAAGTTTGAATCCCCAGTTGAATGCCTGTGTTGGTGTGAGCTTTTTGGAACGATGGTTAACTGTGAGGAGAGAGACAGCCAATGACAAATTAAAATGAATGAAATTAAGAAGACACTGTTGAGTCTATATAATTAACAGAATAATAAGCTTTCTCTCTGGGAGATTGGCTTTGGGAGGCCTGGGAAACTATGTATGCATCCAGGTTAAATCATTTACTTTTGTATATTGCATAAGGTTATAGCACAGCTTTCTCAAAGTGATGCTGAGCATGCCACAGGTTGGTGATTACTAATTGCATTTTTGAAATCATGCACAGGAAGGATATATATATTTTATTTAGGAACTCTGAATCATTTATGACGTCCATAAAGGTCAGCTGTATAAAATTAAGTTTAAATTAACCTGCAATTCTTAAAATATAACCCAATAAAGTGAAGTTGTCCGTATTAATTATAAGAAAACTGGGCTTCATACAAAATGATAATGAAGTGAGAATATTAATATATACATTAGCCTATTGGAAAAAAAACATGCAGCACACTGTTTCCCTGTATAATAAGGCTTAGGATTACACATACTTGTAAATATTTTAATGCATTTAAATGTATTCATGCAAAATTCAACATCTTGGTGAATGCCTGAGTAGAAGGAATAATGAGGCGCTGCACATGTGGTTGACTCTGTGTCTGTTCATCAGGTTGGTGTTCCCATTGGTTTAAGTTAAGTTTGTTTACTCATATGTTTACCTTGGCTACCACAGGTATGTGAGCATTCCGCCCACGGTGACCAATCAGAGAGTATGCAGCTGACAGGGCAGTCAACCACGCAGCTCTCTGACAGCCTCCACTTGTTGATCAGACCAAACTGTAGAAAAACAAGAGCAGAGCTGTGAGGAGGGCTAGTTAACGATTTCCACTAACAAGAGAGAGGGAGCGCCCGCATTTACATATTTTAAATAGGCTGCAGTTCAGTTCAGGACAGTGGAGATGCAGCAATTAAGCAATTTTACCATTTACTTTGTTTTCAAATTTTATTGAGCTATAGTTGTACATTCTTGGATTTTTTCATGAAAAGGAAATCACATGTTAATCTACATCATACTTAACACAGAGGTGGCAACATGACAGCCTACATCCCCATAAAACTTCCTTCACTCAGAAGTGAAATATGGTTCTGGATATACCAGAAGTGAGCGGCAGGTTTGGAACCTACCACTTAGAAATGTTTCAGCTACTTCTGCTATTTAATGATTAAGTCCAGGCAATAAAATGCTGTGTTTTGTTTGGTGGCAAACAGCTTAATGAAACATGAATGTGTACATTGTCACAGACTGAGCAGCTAGGTTTTTAATAATGTATAAGCCAGTAGAAACTGAAGAGGAACTAGAGTACGAGAACTGCAACATAATCAATAGCTTATATATTTTTTTAATAGTATACTTTTCCAATATTCCATGGTTTTGAGGGCTGTCTGTCATTTTAGCAAACTTCATTTCACTCATTCCCACATCTGCATTGTTTAAAATGTCAAAGTATGTGGAAAATATTTAAAGTCTAGTCCATTTTTCTTTCAGACATAAATTGCTGTGTTATTATTTGTGATGTACTGCCATAGAAAAAACATTGTACTGTATTTATTTGCTGCACCATGTGTTGGGAAAACAAATATTAGTGTCCCTGTGCATAGTGAAAAAATATTCACACAATAATAATAATAAATAGTCAATAATAATAATAAATAGTCAATAACAATGACTGCAAAAATGTGATTTTGTACAATCAAAATTTGAAACTACAGCATGCCAGTATGAACCTCAGGTCTGACTATGCAGTGCTCACCTGCTCACACTTCTGCAACTCCACAATCTTGCCATTGCTGCGAATACAGTCTAGGAGACGCAACCGTGAACCTTGACCACAGATGGCATTTTCCCCCAGCTGGCATGTACTCCAGTCTGAAATGCACACACACACACACACACACACACACACACACACGCAACATATCTGTAGATTAGTCTCACAGACTGTATGCCCATGACAGTAGGATCACTGTCAGTTCCAACCAGCAACATTGTGCTAAATGCTTATTTTGTTTTACTTTTGTCCAAAAAGTTTTGGCCAAGCACACATCCTTTGCTTCAAATTAATTTAGGTCGATACACTTGCACTGGGATCTTGTAGCTCTGACCTGCTGTGCAGATGGTCCTACCTGAGACTCTGTACTGGTAGGTGAAGCAAGTGCTGTTGAGGACGCAGGGCTCTGACTGGACCAGCTCTGGACAAGCAGAGTTTTCCGAGGCTGGGAGTCGGAGGATATGTCTGGTCCTGTTCCTTGTTGTTCCTTGGTCACATTGCTGCACAACAATGACAGGATCATCAAACAAAGGTTATTGTGTAGGGTGCGGGTTCAGTTTCAGACATACAGGGAATGGGATGAAGCCATTTGGAGACAAGGGGTCCTTCAGCAGGCCAAAGAAATTCAAAGCTGTCTCCAGCATTTACATTTGTTATGTACTGGCTAACACAGTATTAATAACTTTGCATCAATAATAATGCTGTCACAAATATCCAAATTTGTTTTATTATTATAGGATTAAGACTTGATAGAGTGCAACAGACATGTTGCTGTATATACTATACAGTATATTCTTGTACAGAGGTTTATAATGATTCTTTTCTATGACAGCAACATTTGATTATGTCTGATCATAAAATAATTAATTGATAAATAAAATACCTATTCTGTATTGTAAGATTTTAATATAACACAGTTGAGGATTTTCATATAACCAAAAAGACCTGCTTCCTTTATTGATTCTCAAGGATAAACTATAGGCAAATGCATTTTAAAGCTATGCAAAATAAATTAATAAATCGTATTATATAGCAATATAGCATATAGCTTCAAAGTATTTTTCAAAGAGGTTCACCATTTTTCTCTGCTTAATTTTGGCTGAGACAGATGGTGTTTTCCCTTTCAGTGACTGTGATGAAAGTGACAAGTAACAAGGGAGTGGTGAGGAAGTTACGTGACAATCCAAATAAGACAAGGATATTGGGTTTTGTGTCTAAAACTGGATTTTGAATATGGTGTCAAGTAGGAAGGAGTGGGCCTGTGTATTTTACTATTAGTCATTACTGTAATAGACATAAATCAGCAAACGGAATACTTCAGGTCACATGAAGTCTCAGGAGCGGCAGTTCAAAAGTGTAGTAGCTAAATCTGGTACAAAGCATCTTCTCTTTGAGACAACTATTTCCTGGTCCCTGACAAACACATTTAATGAAAGCAAACTAAATCAACTGTGTCACTTCAAGGTGAGACACTTCTCCTCTCTTAGGTGCCAGAAAACCACAAGTTAGTAACCCAACTTCTTTTAAGCAAAATCTACCTAATATGAATAATTGTGAAGATATAATTAAAACTGCCAGCTGCAAGTGTAGCTCCTCCACAATCCTTTTCTTGTTTTTAAAAAGATATGTCAATGATATAAAAACCCTTTTGAACCCAGTTTCAATGCATTTTGTAGTCAAAAAAATAGCAGATCTTGGTTGATTTTTAAATTTTAAAGAAAATATCCAGTGGATGACCTTAAAAACCTGACAAATAGTCAGTACTGATTTTAGAATGCCACCGAATGGCAAAATAAAGAACAGTTACTACACAGATCAAATTATACTGATATTCTACTTTTAAAGCCATGGAGAGATTATTGTATTGGAAAGAGATGTTTGTTGAGATATGAAAGAAACTTGTGGTATGTTGTATGTAAGAGAACCATTTCAATCATTTTATCTTTTAATACAATCAAGTGAAACTCAGAAATGAAGGAAAATCTTCTAAATTAAGCCTTTCCTTTCTGCCCTTTATACCCATAATTTGAATCTTTTCTGTAAAGGATGGAAAGAACTGAATTACAAGCCAACCAAAATTTATATAGCAGGTAATTTATGCTAAATGCAATTTGAATACTAAATATAAAGAAGTCTTCTTATTGCTCGTTTGCCAACTAAACCTCATCACCTCAACCATACACTTTTAATAATAAAGTTTTAAAATTAGTCTCTGGCTTTCAGTTTCATAAACTGGTGTAATTGGCCAACAACCCAGAGGTGTTGTTTTTACTCCAGTATTCACTGGCATCTTGCCTTCGTGTCATGGTGGGCTTGGAATTACAAACTAAATAAACTAGTTTTTCAGAAATGTGTTTTTAAATAACCCATTACTCATCAGTATTGTTTCTCATCAGGGGTGTTCTGGATTTGAGGATGTTTGGAGCTTAGCCCGCACCTCTGAGGGGGGGTCAAGAAAAATCCTCCCCCAGAAGGTTTTGTTGATAGACAAGCTCTACTTAAAGTTAAAAATATTAGTAGTTGCAATTACTGTAGCAACAGAATACTTAACAACATTTATTGGAAAAACTCACACTCCTTTTCGTCCTATACAGTGGCGGTCCTTCCTACAGGCGACATTGCCTAGGGCGCCACCTAGTGAGGGGCGCCAAATATGCGGCGGGAAAAAAATTAAAATTAAAATTATAATGTCTATTTATTTGTTCAACAGTTTTTGCCATCCCTCTATCTACAACAATATTCTGACATAAAAAAATAAATTACAGTAATAATGACAGTCATAATAAGACTGTCATAAGACTGGTTCAGACTGCTGGCCTGGGTTGGCCTTGACTGGCTGGCTACTTTTCGAGAAAAACACTATACAAGTTGATGCTAGCTACAGTATATAGCACTTTGCATCTCATTGTGTGCTATGAAATAAAAAATTGAGTGGATGTGAAAAGTCTATAATTACTGTCCATATAGCAAAATTAGATTAGGTTCAGTTTTGGATTAGTTTTAACTTTACTGTCAAGTTCAAGTACCGTGAAATACAGTTTTACATCCAACCAGAGTGCAAAGTAGTAAAGTGCTGAGTGAGTCAGTGCCTCATATGCAGATGAGGATATCAACATGTGGACTTCATAGACAGATGTGCAAAAGATGAGCATATGTTATATACTGATGAACAGAGATAAGTATAAGTTACATACTGATGGAATATTGTATCAATAAAGTTGAGCATAATAATAATAAATTATGTATACAGGTAGAGTTATGTTTATGCAGAGAGGTATGCACATAGAGCTGTGAGCATATAGGACTAAGGCTGTGTCCGAAATCACTACTCACTATATAGTCCACTATGTTGAACTCCCTATGTAGTGACTAGGGAGTAGGGAATGAGTGAGTGATTTCGGACACATCCTAAGTGAATTTATATAAAAAGAATGTCAAAATTAATTTGAAAAATGGAAATGTTGTTTACTCCATGTTGATAATACACTTGTTTGTTGTATCATTTTAAATTCACTATTCAAATATTTGGGACCACCTGCAACTGAATCATCAGACCAGGAACAGCCATGCACCTCAGCTGCTCCGGTTTCCTCAGGTGAGTTTAATGTGTCGGTGAATGTTTGTGATGATAAAAATGTATTGACTTATGTGCAAATGACAATATGTTGTGCCATGTTTCATCCAGTCAATGTATTTGCTCTTGTGTGTTCTCTCTCTGTTTATGGACCTAGAGCCACCAGAAGAGACGCAACAAGAGCATGCTGCTCTTCCTGCCAACCTCACATCAAATTTTACAGTATCTCATTTTGCACATAATGTTTTATTGTTAGTTTAATTTTTTGTTTTGATTCTTTAGTGTGCACTTTTTGTTCTCAGATGTTGCACTACTGTTAAAAATATGTTTAAAAGTTTATTTTTTGTATATTTATTATTGAACAGGTTTATTCTTTTGCACATATTGTTATATTGTTTGTATTATTGTTTAAATAAATGTGCAATTCTTTGGACATGAGTTCTTTTCTCGTGGGGATGGGGCGCTATCAGTAAAGCTCGCCTAGGGCACCAAATGGTCTAGGACCACCCCTGCTCCTATATGACATATTTATATGTCTAATGTATAATAAGTGATAGCCTTGATGCTGGAAGCATGACCTATTGTTAGCTTGACATGCTTGTTATTGAAAGTAAAGCTTGGTACCTAGGATACCCATCTGAGCGGAGTGCTTGTTTCAATCCAATCATGCATATGCTTCATACATATGCTTCAGGAGAAACTAATTATGGCGTGAAGAATTATCAATTTATTCTACAAAAGCAAAGGAAGGTCGCCCACTTTATTTCTATGCTTAGCCCATCTTCCATATTTAATATGAGCGCAGGACTAGCTAGACCATTGGTTCTTAGAATTGATTTTATTTATGATGATTTATGCAGCTATAATGATATGTAAAGGTGTGCTTTGGATATACTTGTTTTCATAAATGGTGTGCCTTGTGACAAAAATGTTTGGGAACAACTGAGCTGAAGCTAAAGAGCCCTCACCAACCTTAGCTCTCATCCTCCTGACTCATCTGCTTCTACAATAACAGTTGAAAACTCTTCCTCTTCTACTTCCTCTAGCCCCGTCTGTGCCTCATTGCCTGTTCTTTTTCCTTTTTTCTTCTTGAAAAAGCATCTTCTTATATCCATACTTAGCTACCACCAGCCCTAAAGCCCTGTAACCGGTCTGTCTCGCTCACACAAAATGTGCCATGCTGTATTAAGTAGAGCTGCTGCTTGAATGACACACAGAGGACCCAAAACGTGTTTGCATTTCTGATTAGTGATATGATATTATATTATTTTCAAGGGCTTTAATGCATGATCAGAATGATATGATATTTTTTATTATTGTTATTATTTATTTATTTATTTTTGAGATCACGGACTATTCATAATTTGGGGCTGTATCCTTGGATGCCCAGGCCTAACAATGCCAGTGTTTCCCAACTATAGAAACCCATTTCTGCGCTTGAAAATACAAAAAAAACGAGACAGTATCTCAGAATCAGTACGATGGTTTCGGTGTAACAATGTGTTAAAACTTGGCGAACAGGCTGAGCTTTTACAGTATAGGTAATGCAAATTATCTGATACAAATCTAAATCTAAATCTGTATTTATAACATCCTTTTATATCCCCCCTCCTGAGGCCTTGGAAAGAACTAGGACACTTGTTTGAATAGAATTCAACATTATTTGACACATACAGTAACTGCTGCCTTCAGTGTGCTATAAATACAGCATTTTCAGGCTGTATGTCTGAATAATAGTGCAAAGTGGGTAAAATAGGAAAAAACTGAATTTACTGTCACTAAGACTTTTATGCAGTGTAGTTGAAGGCAGATGAAGTTGAGAGAGCAATTATGAAAACTTAGAGTACAACATTTATCAAATGTCTGCCATGGGACAGTGGTACAGTAGCATGATGAGAAGTTGCAAATCACTCAAGTCACACTACATGGGAATGTAAATCTGTGAACAGAGGAGCAAAGGATGTGTGAAAAAACTGAAAAAACTTCTACTGATGAAGGTCTTTGCACTGAGCTGCGTTTGTCCCTCTGCTCTCGGTGTATCAGGACTTGCACCTCAATCAATGTCACCTCCTAATGAGGGACCTCCGTGTGAGGCTCATGACTCAGCTACAGTCATTGTACCCTCAATGTGTTCACACCAACTGTCACACAACCATGCACATGCATTTGTATGCTATATTAAACATAAGGCTCTGCAATCTGCAGGCTCAATTGTGCATTTGGTTGTTGATAGATTAGAACCAGAACCATTTTCACACCACCTTAACTACTGTAAAATAACTAGACCAATAAAACTTATTAAGTTCACAAAATCATTAAATTAGGTCTATTTGCAAGCTGAGTTAACATACGGTTACCATTGCTAAAAAACTCAGCATGAAAGCACAGTAACATTTTGAATATCTATTGCACATACTGCCTTATATTTCACTTTCACTTTTCACGATAGGTTTGTGTGTATAGACTGACATAAAAACTGTAAAAGACCTTGCAAACAGCATTAAAACAAGCAGTAACAGGGTATGCAAAATGAACAAAATGGGAAGTTAGCAATACCAACCCCAGATAAATTGTTAAGCAATAAAAATCAAGTAGCTTTTCAGACACATCATATAGATAAGTGGACGCATTGGTCTTCTTGTTTGTCTTGTGCCCCATCCTCTACTAATCTCCTTCACTAGGAACAGCAAAACCCAATCCGGAAGGAACAATCACCTTTTTCCCACAGGGTGCCACAGTATGGCCTCTGATTTTAAAGTGTGGGTTCTCACTCTGACCATTTCACATTCAGCTATAATCCACCCCAAGCTATGCTGGAGGAAACAGCTTATGAATAGAGGTGTTCTTAAATATGAACATAGTGTTTGGCAAAGCACAAATGTGTTGAGTGTTTGTTCTTAAGAATTTGTATAAAATCTTTATACAAGTCACTGTTGTTCACAAATAATGCCCAATATTTACCAAAGCGCACAGTGGGTTGATTCCAGGTCAAGGTAAGCCATTTGTTTTCTCTTCATTTCAGTTCAGTTTGAAATGAATGAAGACGCAATCCTGAAGCCAGTGAATTGTAACTTGCTGGGAAAGCTTGCCCTTGAACTCGTCCATCTTCCTGTTTCCGCTTTGGCGCGCTCAGCTTAAAAAAAAAGAGTGGTGCGCGTCCTCGCGCAACTGGGCCAAAATCCTGGCGCGCCAGCGAGATCTACATCATTTTGACATCACATTGTCGCGCGACAGGTCGGGAACGGCGAGTGTATAAGAGCCTTTATGCTGTTGGTTGAGCATATTCTGTGAGCATGATGTAAACACAAAACTTTAATGCAGTGTTTGTGCTTTACAATAAAGACTGCTCTGGGTTTATTCTTGATACTGTCCTTTCTACTTGTTTCAGAGGGTCTTGGAGCTAAATACAATCCCCCATAATTGCATTTTTATTGACAAAGTTGGCTTTAACTAAGCTATAACAAGGCTATATGGAAAGAACATCATTGGCCATCATGTCATTGTGAATGTATGAGGACAGTGTGGAGAACCATCACAGTGTTATTAACCAGGATGCTTTCCTTTATCACTTTGCCACCCTTGGACCCCACAACAACTGTTTTCATCACAATCCTGCACACACACTGCACAACATCCTCATTCCAGCTGAGTACAGGAATGGCCCATGGCTATAAAACTATCTCCAATTACAGTGGACCAGCATATTTTACACTAAGCATCGCTGTTTTCACTAACACCCTCCATTTGCAAAGGAAAATTCAGTCAGGAATTGAGAGCTGTCTTTTCAAGATTTCCATCTCTCATCAGTGTCTCGGAACACACTGTCCAAGATGTTAAGACAGGTAAGGATGAGACATGCTTGTCTGAGAGGAAAATAGAGATGCAGTATCAATAATGATTCAGGGTCTGGGCTTTTTGTATGAAAGCATGGTAAATTCAATCTGCACTTTGTGAAGAGATTTTGTAGTGAAGTTTTGCAAAGTTTAGATTAAAGAAATTGTTGAATTGTGCAAGAACGGTTCGAAACCTTTGACCACAGTGGAAATTTGTAGTTGACATTTGCTTTAAGCAGTGACTGCAACTCAGCTTACCACTGGTAAAACATTGTATAAATGTACAGATCCATCATTATGGACATGCTTGCAATTGGCATTCCTACATATTCATGCAGGCCATAGTGAGTAGAATCATTTCAGGTGGATAGCTCTATTTTGATTTATTTTTTTAATCATAACAGTTTCTCAGCTTCCTAGTGTTCAAAAATCAATTGATGCAGCCATACTAAGTCAGTCTAAATCATACTGGACTCTATTTATAAGCCCTGCTTATTTGGTTGGATGAACAAACAAAAAACGTCATCTCCACAAAAGTGTTAAATGTTTGATTTAAATGTTGAATCCTCCATAATAGTTCTATATGGCTGTTATAGTTTAACCATTGTTAAACTGAACAATTTTAGCATCATTATATCAACAAATGCACGATGGCTGCATTTTACTGATGTTAAGAGAGCTGCCAAAGCTTGCAGATTGAAAGATTGAAATAGACTAAATGTCTGTGGAGAAAACTCAGACTAATTCAGTAATCTCTATATTTATTTTTCCCACCCTGTTCTCTCTCTGTGTCAAATGTCCCAGTCCATGGAACTGTTTGACATGAAAGTTAAAACACGGCTACCACAGTCTACTGACCGACTGACCAGTAGCCTGGGAAACATATGCTACATAGTTTTAGTCTGAGGGCCAACCTTCACTGGAAAATGCAACCACATAGACTCAATTAAATTTGCAGTACCCAAAATTGTAGTGCCAAAATGTGATTTCAAACCACACATGGTTACAGAACAGCTGGGTCGATGCACACAAGAGCTCCATAGATCATGAGCTTTGATTAATAATTATTACTAACACTTCCCTGATGTGTGATTAGAATGTGAATATGTTGTTTTTAATCTTTATATTTACAAGAAGTCAAATTTGCAGAATATTTTAATAGTACTGCAGCTGTTGATCATTTTAATTAATAAATCTGTCTTCCAAATAATGTAATCTAAAAAGTGGGGTCCAAGTCTAAGATCAGTCAAAAATCATTAGAAATGTAAGTCACAAATTTACCAAACTGTAAGTATGACATTTGGAATTTGCTTTCTTCCGACCAGCAGACAAAAGATATTAATTTTATAGGATATAAATATGATTTAAAAAGCAGGAAAAGGGACAGAATGCCTGTTTTAGCATATTTTAAATTAAAACCATTCTACTTAGGCAATTTTATATTGGAGTAAGACTATAAATATGTTAATAAAAAAACTGTATGTAATTACAGTTTCAAACAGTTTTCTAAATAAACACATACAAATGTATATTATTGGCTACAAATGTTAGAAATGTTTTGTCAATTTTGAAATTACTTTCTGTTAATGCCATACCTTGACCTTTACCTCTCTACCTTCTACAGTAGCTTTATTTGAAATGTTCACTTATATGCTGATGATTATGGACATTTTCATTTGGGCTTTCAATGGTGTAAATGATCTGACTTAGCACACAACCTGTCAACCAACCAAGACAGCAGTTACTTAGGTATTGCTTCTTACCAGAGGGCAGTTGCTCCACGGTCCCCAGGGTGTCGTGACACAGTCGTTGGGGCAGGCCAGAAAGCAGACCTGGGCTCTGGGTGGCATTTCCTCCTGATCACACAGACTGTCCTCCAAACTGCTGGCTTCCCCACTTGTTCCCTTCTTCACACACCTAGCAGAGCAGCAGATGCAGCTGTATAACTAGTCTCTGGGGCACCCCTAACACATTTCTAAGTTTCTGACTTAAAATAGATTACAATCTTTTTTTGTGAGATTTGGCAGCTCGTTTAGTTATACAGGGTCTCTACGATGTGTCTCGTGTCTGTGTTCTCCAAAGATTTAGCTGTGTAAAAATAAAACATTGGTTCAATTTAATTGTATGTGCTGCTTTCACAACTTTTTTTCCTTAAGAGACCTCTTTTCTATAATTGAATAAACTCATCACCCCTGACTAAGTGGCATATTTTATAGCTATTTCACAGTGTATTCAGTGCTTAATAATCAACTGATAAACTGTACAATTTGGCCATATTCTAGCTCTTTAATTGTTTTAACTGCCTACTTTTCTAATGTAGAACGAGGCTGTTAAGCAGAAAGTGAAGACTGTGAATATACCTTATGTTGAGGTCTTAACTGTGCCCTTATTCTGTGAGATGTTTTTAGAGATTATATCTTAAATATTAATCTAATTTTCATTTAGCTTCTTCACAGATATTAATCAAATGCTGAGATATACAGAATATATTCAAATTACTGAAATGGGGAGAATAAGTTTATTATTAAGACACAGAAAGTGGTTTACTGGGACCAGTTTTAGATCTGTTGTTGTGACTTGCACTTAAAGATTTAGGCTTAGACTAAACAAGTCCAATTCAGTTGCATCTGACACAACAACCCAGTTGTCGAATTAGGCATTTCCCACTTCTGATGGTGTGAGCAAAAAGTCAACACTTCACTGCTTTCCTCTGTGGCTATTTTAAGTACCACTAAAAAGGCACGGCAAAAAATCAAACAACACTCATTAGGAAGCAGTAGTGTGTTTTGATTGTTTGTTTTCCCCTGGCATTGCCAGTGTCCGGACCAGTGTGAGTGCCAGCTACAGGACCATTGCCAGTCTACTCCTCCCGGTGTGTGTTTCAGTGCCAGGTTAGCAGCCTGCCAAGTCTAACCCACTCACTGACCTGATCTTGCGGCTTTGGACTCCCTCTCCGCAGGCTGGCAGGTCGTCCACAGTGTTGATGGTACAAATGGACCAGGGCTCGATCCTCCACTCGTATTGGCTGCATTCACTGTGGCACCGCACAGCCTGGTACACCTGCACGCGTGCATGTGCAAACACGCATGAACAGACACACACAAGGAAAGGGACACACATGAGGAATTACAGAAAAAAGCTGAGTGTGTTACCTGAAAAAATAGACAGGCATACAAATCAGTACACACACACACAAATGAATACACACAAGCATGCTACATAGAGTTGGTGCATACACTTATATATATATAGGAATATAGAAGATATTAGGGGAAATTGGAGTTAAAAAAGAGTATTCCTTTTAGGTTGTCCTTTGGTAAATTACCATAACCAAAAAAAGAATACTTTGTGCTTTTTGGTATAACTTCTTGCCTTTATCTAGAAGCTATTCAAGTCAACATGCTGTTTTTTGTCTTTATGACAAGAAGAAGACATGTGCTCGTATTCTCTTCTTTTTGTAGTCATGATTTAACATCAAGCACTTGTGCAGTTATAGATGTATATATTGCATCCCTTGGATGTTTTGAAGACTACTTCCAATTAAGGAAATAATTATTTAGTGATGCCAAAGATGCGGGAGTTGAATATCCTGATGTTCCTTATATTTCCTACATTCAGTGTATGACAGGCTAGAAAGCATAACTGAAAGCATAGAAGAGATTGTGAGTTATATATATTAAAAGCAATGTTCAACACTTCAAGAAAGTGCACCACAGACGGGCTCTGAACTAACTAATGGGCACTTCTTGTTCTTCTTCAAACAGAAATCAGTGTATGCGTGGTATGGAGAGAACAGCATGGGGTATGCAAAAAGACAATGACCATGGCAATAGGCACTTCAGATGAGGATGTAATTGGCTGGATGTTGGGCTTATTCACTTCTCCCCACTCAACCAGTGACTCTGGCATGTCTGTATAACCAAGGGAACAGCCAGCGCAATGCTCCTGTAAACACATGTTTACTCTCAATCTATGTAACAGTCTGCCGCAGTAAAAGGTATACTCTGGAGGACAATTTGTGGAAAAAGCTATGACAAGCTGTAATGGGTGTCTGTAAGTGTGTGTGTGTGTGTGTGTGTGTGTGTGTGTAGACTAGAGAGAGGGAATGAGTGTGGAGTATTCCCTCCCCTACGGGCCACACAGATGCCTATTACACACCCTCATCATCTCCCATCTGTCCCTGCAGATGCCCCTGCTGGGTAAACTGGCAACTGCTCTGCTCCCACTTTCTCCACTACTACTGTAGAAACACAATTCAAGCTTAACAGCTAATTTTCATCACCGGAAAAATGACTCTCTAGTCACTTTCCCCAATATATACACTATTTATTGAGCACTAACACCATTTGTTCAGTGAGAAATCATGTGACCATAGCACTTACCAAGAGGGTTATGCTGTAGTGCCACAACACATAAGGTGTCAGATATTAAATCTTTTGTTGGCAGGTTAAAGCTGTTGTACTATGATACACCCACGGAGAAAAAATACAGGATTTACTCCAAAGTACATCTTAGGTCACACACATTTACAAGGAGCTCTCATCGTAGAGGGAAGCGGAATAGGTTTTTAGTTAGAATCTGCTGGAACAGACCGGATTTTCTCATTGGTTTAATGTTATAGGCAATCTCTATCCTCTGCTCTTTTGTTCTCGTTTGGACACTTCTAAAATCAAAAATCGTTTTTAGATAAGCAATACAAGAATGATATTACCCAGCTCAATTTCTTTGAGGACACTCTTAAAAGTTTTACCGACAATTTAATGAACTCCTAACGTTCTTTAGAAAATGTCAATCTGAGTCCCTCCAGTTAAAAAGCAGATGGAATATCATCCAGATGCACTTCACATAAATTGTTTCTATCAATGTAGCACTCTCTCCAATCAAACTATTGTTCTTTTCTCTCGACCAAAAGACCAAAAGGGTCACAGGAGTACGTGACTCTGACAGATCTGGCATGCATTTTGTCTTCATTAGCTACAGCAGAGTATATGTACAGAATGAATAGCACTGACCTGAGCCTGCGTGGATGTCCATATTAGCAGTGCATGACAAGCCAGAAGTTGGGCAGGGGAGAGAAGAACAATGATATGATCATTAGTTTAGATTTAGCCTGCAGTGACAGAAATGTATAGTTTTGCTTAGATTTTATTTAAATAATGCATTCTACTCTGTATTTCATTAATGGGGGTAAAGGATGATTAAGTACTTCATCATCTACAGTGAATCTAGAAGTCCTGGATATTTTGCCAAACTGAATGATTCATAGTGTTGAGAGAATTTTAAAGTGCTGCAGTTGGTCGCAACAGCTGTGCATTGGCCAGACCTGCAGCTGAAGGCAACTCTGAGAAATTAATTTGTCTGGAGATTGTGAGAGGGAAGTCGGCGTGAATGAGCATATGCTCGAAGAGGCTGTGTGCTCTGTATCTAAACGAGGTTACAAAAGTAACTGTTATGTTGTTGAAAAGAAACCGGTCAGGCTGTCCTGATTTAGTTTTCACAGTAAAGGGGACATTACAATGTATTTCCCTGACCCAAGATAATAATTTTTCTGCACATACAACATATATACCATTGAATTAGACATTTACTGGACTCATAGCATGTTTGTTTGAGCCAAATACTGTAGGCTGCATGTACTGACAAATTATCAAATAATGGATAACATGCAACCATGTATATATGCTGCAAATCCCATTAGATGCCACAAGTGTCCCCTTTTTCCATCTTCATTCATTCAATTAAACCCATCTTCATTTACGGTTAAGAGGCAATAGTTAATGATCACAAAATGTAAAGTCTCGTTTTTCATGAAGAAAAAAAAAAGCCATGTGCATGGCATGGAAAGTAAATTGCATTATTGTTAAACTCTCTCAACTGCTGTATGAGACAATAGTTATGGCTTCCATCCAAAAGAAGACACCTGCTGATGGTGTGATGATGAGAACTTGATGAGAACCCATTGCACACAGAAACACATAGATACATACTGAAGTGCCTACACAATGACCAATGCATATATACAAAGAAAACATACACACACCCATACACAAATAAACACACATACAAAAAATGCCAACAGGAACCTTCTGCAGGGATGGCATTTTATCGTAGACAGAGGGAAAATGGGACAGAAAGCCTTAAAGAGGAGCATTCTCTGCTATAAATCTCTTTAACCGTCATTGTGTGTCTACAACTTCAAATAAACCGCTCTATTACTGTCAGCAGGCCCATGGATGAGTTAGAAAACAATGGCTCCTCTGAGAAGCATAGCAGGAGTTATTCCCGTGTGATGATGACCTCTCAAATATACTCTGAGATGATAAGGTGAACATGTGCCAACAAATTATGCAGCCATTAGGAGGACTGCCAGTATCAGTAAGACATATTTGTGCTTTTCAGAAAAGACATACAATACTACTGCAAAAAGAACATTTGTTTTTGCTGAAAATTGAAATCTGAGATGGTGTAAATGATTCAGATGAGGAAAAATAAGATTAAATACAGCCACAAGGCCAAAACATTTAACAACAAAATGTGTGCTAATAACCAACACACTGTGCCAACAAACCGGCAGATGGAAAATAAATAATAATTTAGAAAACCTAAATCACAACAAAATCAGCAACACAGGCAACCCTTAAAGTCAGTATTTGAAGCCCTGGTAATAAGATTCAATAATCAGCTTTCTCCAGAATGACTGACCCAACCTCTAAAACATATATTGTGTCTCAATTATATCAGGTGTAATTTTTCCATATTATCAGTATCACACAAACACCTACACATGGTCTCGAGAGACAGGACAATAACTGCTCTAAAATTGATTTTAATCTTCTACAACAGACTTGGTTTGCATATCATACTCTCTCTCTTCTACTGTCTTCCAATAAGGGCTCTCACTACCAAGGACGACAATTAACCAAAGGCCTCACACGATTTGCGTCCAGCATCTTCCTTGGACCCACAGCTGTGTTGGCTCCACCGCAGGGCAATGGTGTGACTTTACATTACAACACAAATTATTTGACCATCAATCTCTATTTCCAGCTCTGAAATAATCTCCTTTTCTCATTTAGTTTGTAATCTATTACCCAGACACAGCTCAATAAGACAGGAATGCATTAGCAGAGACACACAAGCACTTAACCCTGCACCAGCTTTTAATAATAGCTATGGTCAAAGATCTTTTTCACATACTTACACAAACAATTGTGAATGAGCTCCGTTATCATATCTAAGCCAATACATCTCCTTCACAGTTCAAATAAGGACTGTATATGAGCGATTTGTGCATTTTAACACTGGTAAAGTCACAACACAATTAACATCTTTGCCCTTTCGTATCACGTTTCATCCTGTTACATGTTAATTATATTGTCTGTCTGTCTTGTTTGTCTCTAGTGTTATGATTTTATCTCTATTTTCTTATGGTTTATTATTACAAACAAGTTCTTAAACAGCTATATGGTACACAATTCAAATGTAAAGAGAAAAATAAATTGATAGATGTTAAAATGTTAATGCAATGTCAGATATAATTACTATACAGTCAAATTTAAATAAACAAATAAAAGGTATTTTATTACATTACAAAGCTAACAAAAAATGTGCATGTGTCATTAAAAACAGTCTTCCCAGTTATGAATCGATGAGTATGTATTTAATGTTCACTCAGCCATTTAATACAATTTGTTTTTCTAATTACTAGATAGAAACTATGATTAACCTTGAAGCAAATGCAAGGGGCCATTCGAGTGGCTAAAGGCTTTGAGTAAAGATAGAGAGGCTTCAAAATGTAGCCTTTCTGGGTGGCCGCACTCAAGACTGCTTTAACAATATGCATGGTTTGTAATGCAAGAAGACACTTCGCTTTTTGGGCTGGGCCTACAGGGGGGGAATAACACATGCCCAAGCACTGCTCTGCGTTAATTACACCTCATTGGCCTTAGGTAACTCCATCAGCAGCTGGCTCCAAAAGTCTTTCGTTCTAATGAAGGAGAGAAATGAGTTTAGCACCTGGGTGCACTCTGATAAAAAACAGAAATCTAACATTTGTTCTC